AGCCATTTTCCTGTTTTATAAAGTTTTGGAGTTGGTTTCTTACGGCGATATCTATGCAAGCTTTATTAGTATGGCGGTGTCATCGGCAAAAAGTGCAAGATGAACAGAAGGGTCTTTAATGATGTCTTGCGGATAAATATCAAAAAGATATTGCGAAAGTGCTGAGCCCTGTGGTACACCAGCTTTGATTGCTCTGATGATTGAGTAAACAGTTCAAATTTTGATTCTGGATGTTCTGTTGCTGAGAAAAGAGACGATTAACCGAATAAAATGATCTGAATTGAGTGTGATTCATTTGCAAATAAGGCCGCGATGCCACGCCCTGTGAAAAGCCTAGGAACCTGGCGGAAGAACTTAGAATTTGCAAAGTTTGCCCCGGGCCGGAAAAAAAAAAAAAAAAAAAAAAAAAAAAAAAAAAAAAAAAGTGCCGGCTTTATTTTCTACTCATCATCAACTTAGAAAGGAACCTGAAGTTAAAGTACTGCTCATCTTACTTGCATTTCCCAGCCTAATTTGAATTTGAGCGTCGCCACTGGTGTAGCCCTGAAACATTTCATCCAGGCCTGTTTCCGATTCCTACACTGTTCCTGATCGACGAGATGTCTACTTCGGAAACTCTATAATTGTTTTTTCCTACGAGTTTTTCAACCTGATGTTCGTCCTCTTTTATGCTCGGACACATTATAGATCGAAAATTATCAACTTGGTTAGCCCGGGGTAGCGCTGCCGCGCAGGTGCCTGATGTTTGCGAACTGCGTTCGCCTGAGTAACTTGGAAAGGAACATCATAAGTATGAAGTTTGACTTAGGCCGCTATTTCTGCTTACTTGTCATATCCTCGTCTTATAATTTGTAGGAGATGGTCTACTCGATATTAATCAATTCCTTTCATCAGTGTATTCAACTTTGCCTTATCTGAGTTAAGTGTGATGGTCTCAGCAGGGTCCATTGCTTTCTGCTTGACTGGTACAGTTTTCTTTTCAGTACCAGGCACTGCATTGGGAGTCGATGACTTTATTGATTTTGATTTTTTGGAAGTCGCAGAGGAATAAATTATTTCGTCTTGAAGAAACTACCGGTTGCGATTTCGGTGAAATTTCAGAATCAACGTAATCACTAAATTCATCATCATTATTAAGATCAGAAATCCCTATAAAAGGATATTTTGAAGTGCAACCCTAAGGCTACACTACTGCAAATGTTTTTATAACAATCTATTTGTGAGTACTGAACTGCGAGCACTTTTAACAGCAACTGCTAGAATAATGAACGAGAATAAATGATTTGGCGTCAAGGCTGCTCCCCGAACTTTACCTATTTTCCCTTTCAAAACATGTTCCCCTTTTATCCCTAAATCGTTAAATACTTCAAGTATAGGACTTCTTTTCATTGGTCAGTTACAAGCACTCCGTCATCATTGGCAGCGTGCTTGTATTGATTAACAAAGTTGTGAGGGAATTTCAAAAGACGTATAATTTGGCGGACCTCATTTGGTGGCAAAAGTGGACGGTGGTTTATGCAAATAGTATGCTGAAAATGTCATATGTAATTTCTGAACAAGGTAAAAGTGTTTTATTTCAATTTTACTTTTTCCTATTAATAAATCTACTTCTTTTGCATGACTTGAGATAGAAAGCTTTAATAATTTACTACTCTGAAGAATTTTAAAATACTTGAATGAAACTTTAAGCTTGCTTGAATATATGTGTCATACTATCTTCCCTTTGGCATACTTTGTACTTATTTTTTTTTAAATTTATATTTTATCAACCTAAAAGTTATTTTATTTATTTAATCGAACAATAACTCTCAGACGGAAATATTATTTTAAATTAATTTTAAAGAAATTTTATTGACAATGAATCGGGGATCAGATTCATTAAGAATCGTAATTTCATTTATTAGTTCTCACAATCAGATTTCATTATTCGTAATGGTATTGTTTACACTATATCTCGTATTATAATATTTAATTATTCTTAATGAAAATTACACTTATTCGTCACTTGTGAATATATTATGAAAATTACACTTATCGTCACTTGTGAATGTATTTAACCATCAAATGTAGTATTGATCATCCGAAATTCAAACGAGTTCAGTTACTGATGCACTTTAGCTTTGTAGTTTAACTGCTTTAAAGGAAGGCTTATTTGCTAACAATAAATTTAATCTCTAATGCACTTCAAGGGATCAACCAGGAATGTTTACTTACACGATTGTGAGATTCTTAAGTATTTTCTGATTGGTGAGAACTTCCATAAAAGAACTATTTTATGTAAGTATTGGAACATACAATTTTATGTAAGTATTGGAACAGCCTTTCAAAAAATGTTTGAAAGAAAAATTAAATATTTAAATTAAATGAAATACTTTTCTTACATATGATATCTTATGGCTAAGAAAAATTTAAAATTCATAAAATCAATTGAAAATGATGCTAAATATCAAAATGTACTATTGTATACAAATAAGAAAGTAATTATTTTGAATATCTTTTTTGAGACTTTACTGAGGCCTTTTAGATATGGATTTAATAAGTTTTTGACAAATTTACTTCTATTTTTTCCTATCCTGTATAGATTTTTCTCCAATTTCTGTTGGAAATTTTGAATTTACGAATGATCCTGGCAAATGAACCCAGATTCATGCTCATCAAACCATTTTGGGGCGAACTGAGCACAGGGACAAAATGCATTGTCCTATTTTAAAGTGACTCTCTGCATCATAAATAGTGCAGTGATAAACAAGTATACACTGTGTAAAAAAAAAAAAAAAAAAAAAAAAGAGGAAGAAGAAAAGGGGCAGTTCTATATCTCCTGTTCTATTGGGATTGGAAATTCAATCGATTTTCATCTTGAAGCACGAGTTAGATATATTTAGATTTATATATAGCATTTTTCTAACATAGGTATTTTGATGCAAAATTGGACTTTTTCTGAAATGGCATACCATTTTTTCCCCATATTTCGATTCTACGATTCAAGTTATGCCTAAATATTAAATTTTGTAAAATTTGGTGTGAAATTTACAGAGAAATTCAAGAATTTATCTCGGTGCGTTTCTTTCAGTTTGCTCCAAGAATAATTTACTTGTTGAACTTCTTAATATATGGCAACCTATATTCCTTTCCCTTCCATTGTGCAGAAGCCGAAAAAAAGTCGCATTGTTCCTACTTTCAATAATGTTAACAAAATACCTAAGCCTCATTTGATGTTATTATCGCTTTCAACAAATATGCCAAATTTCAAAACGCGCCAATATATAAATTCATGTATCTTCCAAAATTTGAATAAAAAACTCTCATTTTGGCAGGTTCTAAAAATATATCTACTTTAAGTTAGTAAGAATTTTATAGGTTTAGTTCAAAATTTTGTCGAAAAATTAAAAATATATTTAAAACAAATTTTAAAAGAAATCTAAAAAAGGGGCGAATTTAATTTTGAATGAACCTAAATTTGAAATTGAAGGAAGAATCAAATAAATTTAATAAAAAAAGAGAGAAAAATATATACCAAATTCAATTAAACTGAGGAGCTAAATTTTGAAGTTAATTTTTAAAACTACTTGTGCAATTTTTACAAAATTTGGCAGTTGGGCATAATTTATGTAATAGAATCAAAATTTAGGAGAAAAAAAAAAGCATGCTATTTCTGAAAAAGTCCGATTTTGTGTCAAAATACCTATATTAGAGCAATGCTATATATAAATCTAATACATATGCTAAGTCGTGCTTTCAAGACATAAAAAATGCAAGTTGAATTTCGTCAATCGTCCTGATAGAACAGGAGATATAGTACTGTCCTTTTTTTTTTTTGCGCATTGTACACGATTGGTTGTGATATATTTGAGGTAAGCTGCAATTTCAAAAGTTGTTTCGATACATCAAGAGACCTATCATATTTCAGTTATTATGATGTGTACGATGAAGCAAGAAACATTCATTGGATCAAACAGATTTTTTTCAATTGTTAGGGATCCAGTGTAAAAGTATATTTATGTATACCCCTTGGTGAAACTTTGTGATTTTTGGTGGTACATGGATACCGAGTTTGTGCAGTTCTTTGACTTGCCAAAAATCGCTGCTACACAAAGCCAAAGTAACAAGAAAAAACTCGGTATCCATGTACACATCAACCTATTTTCTCATAAAAAAAAAAAATCCCAGACTTGCACAAAAATGGCATTGGGCACTCTCTTGACTTTGTCCATGTACACATCGAACTATAGTCACTTAAAAGTCAAACGAGCAGCCAACAAAAAAATTTATAATCTCAATAAACTACATTTTAAATCAAACAATGAAATAACATAAAAAAAGAAATTCATCTTTGCACTACACAAAGGAACTATCCACTTACCTTATTTACGAATTAACACGTCTTCAGTCAAACAAAATTCTTTAACAGCATCCAAAAACTTCCTAAAATTATCTGAACTAGAATCTGTATACTGGCATTGCCACATAAATTCACAAAATAAGAGTAAAAAATATCCTCTGTAGCGACATTCAACCGTATGCATTTCCGACATTGGACCATACGCATTTCCTTCCTGCAAACAGTACACCTAAGCCCCGTTCACAAGAGCAGATTCGACCGGTAGCGAAAACCGGTTCTCCCAACGTGTCCTGTTCACATGGGACAAGCATTAACTGCCTCGCCAAATTGGAGGTAGAACTTGGTTGAATGTTCCTTACCTCTCGGGAGCAGGGCAAATGGGGAGATTTCCCGACTATACTGCGCGCGTTCACTTAATTTTTAGTTACTGCTCGCTGGACTGTCAGCGAAACAATCACGCTGACAGATGTCTGGGAGTGATAGCATCCCCCCAAAATTAGATAGAACTGTACAAGATACGGAATTATAGACAAATACAGACAAGGTTATCTGATGCTAGGTATTCCAGAAATATCGTTCAAATTAAAAAATAAAGTTAAACAGGCATATCGGCTTCAACGCGAAAAGGGACTCGGTACCTTTTGAATGATTTTTTTAAAAAAAATTAAGCATTTTCATCTACTTTTTAAATTATAAATTTTTGAGAGACAAATATTTTAAGCGAAAAAAGGTCTTTGCTAGTATTTTTTTAATTTAAATTTTTGAAGAAAAATTTTACAATTAAAATGCCTTTCTTCTCCTACAATTTTCAATTTTCCCCCGCCCAGTTTTTTTTGTTTTTAGAGTGTTTTTTAATACTTCAAGGAATGATTTTTTTGCAATTAATGAATTGTTTTCTGAAAAAAATACACTTTTATCTAAAATCTTTGAAACAATTCTCATCACATTTTCATTTCAAATAATTTTTTTCCTTTCAGGGCTCGTGTTTCTATATATAGTATATAAGTCCATATATATTGGACTTAAAGTGCAAAAAGTAAAGGGTTCCCAGTTTGCATTTGCAGTTTAAAGAATACAAACTGTCTAAATAGACATTTTATCATTTCAATCTTTTAAAATTTTATTACTGAATTTCAATACACACATATGTATATAAAATCAACCTAGTGCTAGTTTATCAATTGGTAAATATAAATATAATTACAAACCTTTTTTTAAAACCGTATGTGGCCAGAAAAATTGCAAAAACTCATAAAAACGCAAGCAGATTTTTCTTTACCTGCTTTTCTTTTGTAAACACGTTCAAAACAATTTTAAGCGAATTAATTATAATATTGTTGCGTGCATACGGGTTTGTAATAGATTGATATAGTTCGAAATGATTGTCATTGCACTCAAATCCGTGATAGCTTAATTAAAGTATTGGTATCACATAAACACTTCAAAGTTCTAGAATTTTCCACAGAAATACTCGTACAAATGTTAGAATCACTAAGTATAATCAGTAGTTATGCTTCATCTAATAAACGTTAAACACAACGGAATGCAAACGCATCTTAAGAGAAAAGTTAACTCAGAAATATCTCCAATCTCACGCGACTAACAAATGGTAACAATACAACTTAATAGCATTAAATGTCATAAAAATAGTGTGGTATAGAGATTTTACTTTAAAACCGATGTTTTCGAATTGATGTCCAAGAAGAACCCGATTTCCCATTCTCTTCATTGCATTCTTTCAAAAAAGTAAAAAATCATCCAATTAATTTCCTTTATTTTTTTTAAATGCGAAAAGTTTATTTTATAAGCTATGAAATGTCGAAAGTTTGTAACTGATATATTTTTAGATATGAAATTTTAAAATTAATGGGCGTCAAAAAGTCTAAAATATGAACGATTTTCAAAAATTCTCCCAAAATATTTTTTTAAAAAAATTACGCTAAAAATTTCACTTAATTTTTTTTCTTCCCAGTGGTGTTATGGTGCAAACTATAATATTCTGAGTTTCTCAATTTATTTGTTATATTTGCAAAAAGTCGTTTCAACTTTAAATTGAAAAAAATCTAATCCTCTAAAAATCAAAAGCGTGACACCACATCCACAAGCAGTGTATGTACAAAGTTTGAGTTCTATATCGAGAAGCAGTTTAAAAATCCATTACCATCTTTAACCATAGCGACAGCACCAAGAGTGAACTAAATCCAACTTATAAAAAAATAATTAAAAAGCATATATTTTCAGGAACCATTACGAAAGTTCAGGTACCATTTGCGAAAGTACGATTACAAAATAACAACATAAACCACGTTAAAAGTTACAGTATAAATCTGCCAATTCGGATACGTGATTGTTCACAGAGGCTTTAGGTTAAAGGGGAAGAAGACGGGTCTTCTGAACGGGTCCTAAAGACGAAACTCTTTCATGTCTCCTTTTCTCCCCTTGCTAACGGCAGCTGTGCGAAGGAGCGTTGCATGTGAACGGGGCTCTAATAATGGCTACTAAGTAAACCTTCATTTACACACCAGTCAAGTAATGCTCTTTTCCCCTTTCTTTCCAAATCGTACAGAAACTTTGAATTAATTCTACCACATTCAGCCATTTTACCATCTAAACCACAAAACAAGCAGTATACTTCCTAACCAACGCACGCACACACACCGCACGCCCTTACGAATTTACCGTATTCATGGAACCGATTATGTCATAATAGGGTTTCCATAACATTCAACTACTCAGGCTACCATAAATGAAATAACAACTTGGCGAGAAATGAAACAACTTCCTGATAATACAAGGGGTACCTTTCTCTATACTCTAACTGGATCCAGTTGTGATCTCCCCACGGCAAGCCTGATTTTCTGTTTTTCAGTGATAATATGGCAGCCCAGTCTCCTGCTATTAAATCCAATCCATTACAGTGTCTGTCATGCTGTGCATTCAGATATGCTTTATGATACACCTGAATAGTGTTAAGCTTGCCTTATTGTTGCTCTTCTTTTGCTGTGAGCCAGTCGCTGTTCACTCTTTTTATTCACCAGCATTTTCCCTAAAATTTTTTTGCTTCACTGTCATTCTCTGTATATGCGAGATATTACTGCATGAGAAAAGTCTAGAACATTGGTCGGTTAGAATAGACTTTAAGGTACCCCTTGTATTGTGGCCAAGTTGTTGTTTCATTTATCGCCTAATTGTTGTTTCATTTATGGTAGCCTGAGTAGTTGAATGCTATGGAAACTCTATTGTGATGTACTCGGGTGCATGATTCTGGGAAATTTTGAATCATGAGATGTTTTGTAAGTACTTTTGTGGTGTGTTTTGGTTTTATTGTTTAGACGGTAGAATATCTGAATGTAGTAAGATCAATTTGAAGTTTCTGTACGATTTGGAATGAAGGGGGGAAAAGAACGTTAATTGACAGGTGTGTAAATGAAGGTTTACTTAGTAGCCATTATAAGTGTCCTGTATGTAGGAAGGATATGCATCTAGTCAAAGGTAAAAACCGTTTAGATGGATTTGAATGGGTTTGTAGGAAAAATGGTTCAGATATGGCGACGCCGATATACGGGATTTGAGTTCAGATAATTTTAGGAAGTTTGTGGATGCTGTTAAGGAATTTTGTGTGCCACAGACTAAAGACGAAGGAACTTCTAAATAGGCTAAGTGGATATTTGCTTTTTGTAGTCCTTAAATAAACATGTTTATCTTTATGTTATTTTAGTTTTGGTTTAAAATGTTTTAGATTATGTATTTTTTGTTTGCCTGTATTGTAGAATTGGGTGCTCCTTTGACTTTTTAAGTGGAAATATATCAATGTGTACATGGACAAAGTGAAGGGAGTGCGTAATGCAAGTTTGTGCAATTCTTGAATTTTTTTAAAGTGAAAATAGGTTGACATGTACGTGGATAAAGTCGAGGGAGTGCGCAATGCCATTTTTGTGCAATTCAGGGATTTTTTTTTAAAGTGAAAATAGGTTGATGTGTACATGGATACCAATTTTGTGCAATTCTTTGTCTTGTTATTTTGGCTTTGTCTAGCAGCGATTTTTGGCGCAAAAACCGCTGTTATGCAAGCCAAAATAATAAGTAAAAAAATTGCACAAACTCGGTATCCATGTACCACCAAAAATCGCCAAGGGATACCCTAAAATATATTTTTACCCATTAGTCGTTTAAGAGATGATGAAAACAAGTCTTCATGCGTCCATATTCATGCCTCATTCAGAGTCACTTGCTTCACTGTCATTCTCTGTATATATGAGATATTACTGCATGAGAAAAGTTTAGAACATTAGTCATTTAAGAGGTGCTGGAAACAAGTCTTCTTGCATCCATATTCATGCCTCATTCAGAGTCACTCGGATCTTTCTTTCTTATCCATTTTCACTTCAACTATATTTCAAGATAAATGTGAACAGTTCCTTGTTTGTATGTTATTTGCTGACTGCTCCATGTTCAGAAAAAGGACTGTCTGATATTTTGGTTATCGTGTACGCTTATGTTATCATGAATTTTAATTAGCTAGTCTCATTTATGCAATTCTGGACTTACAATTAGCAAAATTATGCATCATTTAAATTTTAAAAAAAATTAAAAACTGATTTAACCCTTTGACTACAAATTAAAAAAATGTTTTTGACAAATGATTTTCAAGGCCAAAAGCTGGGACACATGTGCCAGCGGTAGTTAATGGTGGGATACTTATGTCCCAAATGTAGCAATCAACTTAGTATTAAGCACACCTATTTTTCTGGAAAACTTTATTATATAAAATAGATTTTACATCCTTTGGTACAAGGTAAAGCATTCTTTGCATAACCCCACATTACACACTGGTCAACTTATATTTGTTCTTTTCTCTATGTTCATTTGTGTACAACGAGCATAGCGGCGTCTTGATTTTCCAACTATTGGAAGATGATCCCCAACATTCAAGAGATTCTATGTACCTTTTAACCAAGTAGTAATTTGTAAACATTTAGTGGGACGTATATGTCCCATTAGTAGTCAAAGGCTTAAACGCTGATAAAATTCTAAATTTCTTTTTTAAATCAAATTTGTAAATAACTAATTATTTTAATAACTTTATATGCCTCTAAATTGTGCATTTTAATAAATATCTGTATTATTTAAATGTTTTAATGTTGCTATCAAGTATGTGTGTGTAACAGCGTATTTATGTTATTTTAAAGGATTTTCTTCATTCTGTACTCCAGTTACACAGCAAGATGACATTTCTTACATTGAAAAAGATGAAGATTTAATGTTGCCTGAAATACTTTTGTCACCAATTCAGTGCCATCAACGAAGTACAGCATCAAATCTATTACTTCTAAATCGTAATTCAAACTATGATATTAACTCGGCATCTAGTCATTTTGATTTCATCATGGGTTTGTTTACAAGACTGCCATTTAAAAAAGCTAATTGCAAAGATAGCAACAATTCAAATTTTGATACAGGTCGATGCTCAAATTCTTCATTTGAATCAAATGACATAATAAGCGTATTAGAAGCAAATTTTAATACAATAAGTATAATAAATGAAGATTTTAATATATCCGACCCTGAAGCCCATTCTTCTAAAACTGGCTCAGAACCTATTCTGGATCAGAATCACTCAAATATTGAGACTCTTTCAGTTTTTAAGCATCAGCAGTTAAATCAAGACAAAGAATCTTTTAAAGAGTGCGGCTGTTGTAGTAAAATATCTTCCAGTTCTTCACCAATACACGCAGCACATTCAATAATTAAACTTGAAAAGGTTGACATCTTGGAAGAGCTTCACAAAAGAAATTGCACTGCCACTTTAACTCTTTTGTTATCATGTCTTAATCCAGAAGATCTTCTGAAAGTTTCTTGTGTGAGTAAAGTATGGCATACAATAGTTTTTGAGGATGTCGGAGCCAGCAAAAAGAAGAAGTATTATTTAAAGAAAAAGAAAGAACTTAGGGAAGGCCCTGAGAAAGTAATTTTTTATATATTTTTTATCTTGATTAAATTTATAAATATAAAATGTCTATTAATATAATAGTTTAAGTACTTTTCTAGGAAAGCAGTTTTCTTTCCTTCATTTCTAAATTAGTTCATTAATTTTTTACTAGTTTATGTTTCTATACTTGCTATGCATGGCTTTTGATTTTATGAGAAGATATTAATGCTTTAGTATTTCTATTACATAAGTCATAACAGATTTGTATAATTTTAATCTTTTACTTGGTTTTACTATTGACAGTTTAGCATATCTGTCAACAAACTTATATTAACTTCATAAAGAGCTTGCAAAATCAAAAGTTTATATATAGAAGTAACGCTATGGAGAAATATGAATGGTTCTGAACAATATTTGTAAAAGCAATGTGAAAATGAGGGTTGAATCTACTTTAGGCTGTCAAACAGAAGTAATATGATAAGGTAAAATCCTAGTAAAGCCCACACCCTTTGCGACAAACTGGAAAGTGCAGAATCACCCACTGCTTCGCATGTTTCTCAAAATCGCCAACTGGAAAATAACAAGTCAAAAAATTACACAAATGTGGTATCCATGTTCGCATCGACCTATTTTCACTTAAAAAAAATCCCAGAATTGCACAAACTTGGCATTGCACATTCCCTTGACTTTGTCCATGTATACATCGATATGTGCCATATAAGTAGGCGCGACAAGGGTATGGGCTCTGCTAGGATCCAACCATATGATAATCTGAATAGAATCATCATATGTGTGTAATCTATTCATTTCATATATATTTTCATTAAGAAAGATTTGGGGAAAATACAGAATCGCCCACTGCTTGGTGCGTTTTTAATTGCACGAACTTGGTATCCATGTACACATCGACCTATTTTCACTTAAAATAACATCAGAGAATTGCACAAACTCGGCATTATGTACTCCCTTGACTTTTTACATGTACACATCGATCTATTTTCATTTAAAAAGTCAAAGGAAATTGACAAAAATCCAATTTTTCTTACTCTTACAAAAAGCGAAAAATAAAGTGGGCGATTCTGCACACTATTTTATTATTTTTTTAAAGTAAATTTTGACCATAGATTAGTTGCAGTATTTTGAACAATATGAATGTCAGACCAAAGGAAAAATTTACGAATTTAATAGAAGTTAAATATTTTGCTTAACGATTACAGAAGCATTAAAACTCAAAGTCTGGTTTGTAAATTTTTTTGCAATTAATATTTTATATCTATGATATAATTTATGAAAAATTTTAAGAATTGTATAAAAGTGGGTGAAACTAAAAGTAAAATGTTAATAATTGGGTTAAATGCATTGGTAAGAAATATGAAAAAACCAAATTTTGATTTTATGTGTTAATGCTATGTTGAAAACTGTTTAAATAAGAAAAGAAAATAAAAAATTAATGAAAATTTTTATCTAAACTGAACACAAGTCGTTATTTTGATTAAATATTTTAATTATTAAGTAGTCATAAAATTAATACCTATCCAAAAGTTGAATTCTGAGTAATCTCAAAGCTAAATGTGGTTACTTCATTCATATTTATTTAAAAAAAAGTAATGAATATAGATTGTAATGATATAACAATCCTTTAAACAACTAAAATGTCAAGGAAAGTAGTAATGGAATATTTAGCAAAGGTTCTTAATGATGTCTCTTTTGAAACATGTATATTTATGAATAACATTTGTTTTCTTTAGAACTGTAATTCAAGTAGCTACTTATATAACAAATAAAGTCTTTTACAATTAATATTATATAAAGTGAATAATTTCTTTTATTGAAGTTTTTAATATTTTATAAAAAAATTTGTGTTGTAAAAAACACACTTTTGTGATGTTTGGTTAAATTTTATTGTACATTTAATGTTAATTTCATACCACTTATTATATGGAAGTTAGCTGCATCTAATATATTATATTTTTTTTTTTTTTTTTTCAATTTTAGGAGAATAAGCTGAAAACCTGTCCTGAAAGTGGAAGTCGAAGAAAATCACTTCTTACTCCATTAAATCAAAGCACTGAACTTGCACAGGATGTCAGTTATACAACTACCACAGAAAAAACAAAATTTGATTCCTTTATTGAGGTAAATGAGAAAATATTTCCGATGAATTAAAAAAGTAGGCCCTCAACCTACTGTTTTACAGGTTACCAGTTTTTGTCTGTATGAACTAGGCTGTCCAAAGGGGCATATATCTTTGTAGTTAAAGCTTAAGGCTTTTCAGTAATAATGCTGTGCAGTGGTGTTATATTTATTCTAGCTTAAATAAAATATTATGAATGAATACTCAAACAAACATATGCAATGAGACAAATGTATTTGCATACATTCAAATAGTATATGTAAAGAACAAACATTTGCATAAATATTTTTTATCAATATAAACAAACAATTGCATTTCTTGGGGCAAATAATCATTTTTCAACAATGTTTTTCTCTTTTGTGAGGTATTCAAAAGTTCCATCTGAAAGTAACTGATTGACTGAACATCTATGTCATCATCAATGAAATGCTTTCTATTGTTTCTTTGTTACTGAAGGTTTCTTATTCCTCCTGTTTTATTGATCCGTTGATTAATTGCAATTGATGAATTTTATTTGGGTCTAGTTTTTATTAACTGTTAAGAAAACTTTAAAATCAGTCAATAACTAATTCATTCTATTTTACTAAGTAAAATTAGTACAAGAGGCAAAATTTGATTTTAGAAATATTTTCATTTGTATTTTAGTATGGTTGAGTCACTGTTATTTTAAAGTTAAAAGATTAACTGTAAGATGTCAGATGATTATATTTTCAAAAATAAATGAGTAACTTAATTAAATTATTTTTATATTAGTAAAGAAATACTCAGCTAAGCACTAGAGATTAATTTCTTTGAGTTTTAAATAAAAATGTGAACATTTTAAAATATAAAAAATTTAAGCTTTATAGAAAAAAATTCCAAAATAAGTAGAAAGATAAAAGGTACTTGTGTATTATCCCGTCGACCGTGAAGCTGTTGCCAAGTAGGGCGATTTAGCACCAATTATGAAAGAGTTTGATGTCACAACACATTGATAACGTCCGTGCTTTCATCTGATGTAATCCTGATTGATTCTGGATAAGCCAGTTTTTGTTTTTGTAACAAAGATATCAATTAATTATTGCTGTGTATTTTTCCCTTGCATTTTTAGAGGGAAAATGAATTCAAAGGTTGACATTTGTGATCAAATTCTTGCTCATTTACAGCTAGTCAAAAAAATTATCATTTGTTGGTAAGGGGAAAAAACAGCTGGATATCACTGACAAAACAATAATAGATTACAAAAGTCATCTGCAGAAAGTCTGTGGTAACAGTGTTCTAAATCGAGCTTTCCATAAAATTGGGAGGCCTAATAAAATAATAGAAATCAATGATAACCTCTTTATGAAGCAGGCAGATTACTTCCATAGTAATGGTATATTTCATGGACTGTGCAGCGAGATGATATATATATATATTTTAAGAGTTGTAAATAGAATGAGACTGAGGATTTTGTGTTAACGATTGGTGCAACTTTGGTGGGATCTTCACCAACTTTCAAAGTTTCAAAGCCATCTTTCAAGGTCAATGAGGTAATATGTTAGTACCAGAAGAAGAGCCCCACATTTTTATGAACATAATGAAATTTATAAAATAACACCACTGAATGTAAAATTACATATACATTTCTTTAGAGTTCAAGTTCTAGCAGCATGATGTTAAACTGCCATATTTAATAAAATGAAAATAAGCAAATGATAAATAGTTAATGCAGGTATTTTCTATCCTAATAGCTTTTTACCATGTTTTTGTTTTTTGAGGGAAGAAGTATAAGAGCCATTCAAAGAGGTTATAGAATGTGGTGTAAGAAACAGCCCTAGATGAATTAAATATTGTTTCTCAATGTAATCCCTTGTATTGTCAAAGTAATTTTTCCAGCATTTATACTTAATTTCTGGAAGAGAAATCATCATGCTTGGAAAATAAGCCATTGACAGCATTCATAGCAACATCATTACTTGTAAAATGCATCTTATAAAGATCATTTTTCAGTTTTTTAGGTAAGAAAGTATCAATTTAATTATTTTTGAATGGTTAAAAAAAGCAACTGGTATAACAACTGTTGGCTTGGAAGCAATTGCAATAATTGTAGCTAATTTCAGGTTGGTAGAGGTTTGTGATGATGCATTTCCATAGAAAGCCAGGTAAAGGCAAAGGCATTCCTTCAACAGTTTTTCCCTTTATCTGCTCCTGATTTCATTATGGAACTTTTCTGTTAACTGCACATCATACTCCACAGATATTGGTCTGTGTCTCCACAGATATCTTGCTGACACAAGATATTTTTTATTGATAGAAAAAGTGTGTTTCTAAGTCATGCTCTTTTGTTTACTTTTAAGATCGGAATAGAATCCTCACACTATTTTTTTTGCTTCCACCTGGGCATCCATTGAACCATTCTTTATTCTGGGGACATAATGGGCTGAAATTTTTCACATTATGACATTTCATCTTAAAATTGATTCTATCCTGCCAAATAAAATACCTTAGTCTCTACATGCCTGATAGTTATCATCTATCTGACATAACAGTTTGCTCCATTTTGGTAATCGTTCTTGTATGAGTGATGCGGATAGATGATGATGCTTTGAAAAACAAATTTGTCATCTTTATAGGAAATTCTTCCAAGACAAAATTCTACTGCTTAATTGGCAACTGTAGAATAAGCTAGGAATTATTCTACATTTGCCAATTAAGCAGTAGCTGTTTTATTAAGTTATCTCATAATGTCTCGCACAAATCCTTATGAATGTTCTTTTGTTGACATGACCTTCAAGCCAAATATGTTATAGCTGAACAAATTTCAGTTTAGTCCATCTTCAGAGTTTGGGTTGACATGATTCAAAGATTCTGGCTATTTTGAGAAAGAAAAATTGAACTGTAGCTATCAAATTTATCGCTAACTCTTAAGGGTTATATATAAGATTCTTTAAAATTTTGATTAAATATGTTAATTTTCCACTCTTTGTTCTGTGAACTTTTTTTTATTACTCTCATACATGTGCTGTTTAGATAACATATATGAAATATTTATCTCAGTTTTTTATATCTGAATTTAAGGTACTTTGTTATAGCGGCCTCTGTGATTGAATCACAACTCAACCGAGATATCTCACCAAAATCTGGCTGCAGGTTCTTATACCTTGCCATGTGATCATATATTAGCACGAGCTGCATGTTCTTATAGGTCACCATATAATTGTATATTAGCACTGTGTTGCATTTTTGCTCTTGCCACATGATCTTATATTATTCAATTTTGCATTGTTTATTCATTGCTTTTTATTTTTTTTTGCATGAAAATTACATTAATACACTTTAATTTACCAAGTAATGAGGTGGATGCCATATCATTTTTTCAAGAAGGAGGTCTTTTATCTGACAAATATGTATGTGAAAATGGTCAAAACATGAAACTTTGTATATAGTGAAACCATTTGGAGGCACAGTGTTAAAATTTTCAAAAAGAAGAAGGGCTTCCATGTTGGAAATTGTTTCTACGGTTCCAGAATATTATTCGTCACTGAATATTAGATTTATGTATTCCTGAGCAGAGGAATTAACATCCATGAAATGGTGTTAAAAAACAGCTAATGTATGTGAAAGTGCTGCAATTAACTGTAACAATTACATGTGATAAAATAATAATAAAGATAAGGATTATTAAATATTCTTAGAAAATTACATGTGAGTGTTATTGTTTATTTTTACATTTGCACTTCATGAGCTTGGTGAAATTATAGTTCAGATTTTGTCCCAAATCTAAAATTGCCAAATATGGTTGAGGGCCAGTATAACAAAAAAGTACCGAATTTAATAAATAATTCAGTTCAATGTATTATTATATGCGGGAATAAATATTTGTTTATTGAGATTTGTTAAAGATCAAAGTTATATCTTATAAGTTAAAAAGAATATTATTAATTTTTTTTCATATTGGAAAAAATATTTAGTATTCTTTAATATTACAGTACGAAGTCCGAGATCCGGACTCATCGGGGCTTTGGTGATTTGGGATTTGAGATTTTTCCAGATATTAGATTATTGGTTTAAATCTAGTAAGATGGCAAGTAGAAATTACAAAATTAAAAATATGAAATAATGAAGAATTTAAGATCTAAAGGGCATCAAAATTTACCAAAAAAAGTTTAATATTTATTGTTTACTTTATTAAATATTTCTTTCTATGTACATTATTGGGTAAGTCCATAAATTCGTGTGCATTTTTTGGTAAATTTTTAAATAATATAAAAAAACACAATTTAACATTTTAATCAATTATATATTTTCCTCCATTATCTACAATATCTCACCATCTTACAGGCAGTCTTTTTATGCCATTGCTGTAGAAATGGTTTTAATGCAAAAAAACTTGAAAGTTCATTTGTATACATCCTGTTTAAAATTGAATTTTTATCCCAGTAAAAAATTTTGTAAGGCACGAAATAAGTGAAAATCACTTGGGGCAATATCTGGGGAGTAAGCAGGATGTGGCAAAAGCTCCCAATTAAATTCACTAATTTTTTGCAGCGTTGTTCGAGCCATGTGCAGTCTAGCGTTATCATGATGAAATAACACTTTTTTGATATTCACCAATCGTGGATTTTTTTGAACAACTCTGAATTTAGAAGGCAAAGTTGTTCACTATAAACTTCTGAATAAATCATTTGGTTGGGTTCTAACAGTTTGAAACATCCCGAACAGGGTTCATCATCAGTGCTGCTTTTTCCAACTTAAAATTTTTAAACCATTTATGGGCAGTCCTTACACTAATAATGTGTTCACCATGTACACTATTAATTTTTTCGCTGCAAACCTGGCAGATTCATCACACGAAAATAAAAAATGTAGCACAGCACGTTTGTACTGATTATCTGTATTCATCTTCTATGGGTACTAGAATGCGTTCGATATTTACGAAAGTTTGTGATGAACTGAATAATATGTTAGTCAAATGATGACAAGTTTCAACAGGTTCAAAATCGTATTGTTTTAGTAAATGCGTCATAGTGAATTCCATACATACTCTTAAATGCACACAAACTTATGGACCCGGTATTTAGGTTGCTTTGTTTTTTGTGCTAATACTTTCTCTTCAATTCTATAGACAGACATATTCTCTTGTTCAGTTACAAAGTTCCACTGTTCAAAGTCTGTAGTTGCTGTTTTGAGAATTCCGACTAACTTGTTGATTGAAATTTTTTTGTTTTCAATAATTCATTCTCTGTCACTTTCTTCACTATCGATATTTTCTGGATCTAGAACAATACTACAGATTTTGCCATCTGTTAATTGATTTATGATTAGAGCATTGTCATCGCAAAGAAAAACTTTGTTATATCATCTTCATTTATTACCGCTTTTCTTTACAAAATCCATTAATTGGAAAATTTCACCTGTCGTCTGCGATATCTTCAAATTCATAGCTGTCATCTTCATCCTCACCATGAAATATGGAAGGTGGCTATACATTATGCCAAGCATTTTTTAAAGTATCTGGAGGCACATCCTCTCCCACGATCTTGCGATGCTCCACACAACAGATTTTATGTTTAAAATATTTCAAAAGTTCTTGAATAGTCTTGCCATTATTCAAGAAATTTAACATGGATTTTAAAAATGTGACTTTATATTTGCACTTCAGCGCATGCACCATTCTGATATCCTTAGGTTGAATGATGGACATACAGTTTGGAGGAAAGAATAACATGGATACATTATCTTTCATTAAAACTTTTAAGTGGTATATGAGCCGAACAGTTACCTACAATCGGGAAATTTTTTGTGTCATCAGGTAAACCAACCAAATTCAAATTTTGCTGAACCTCAGGTATGAAATGATTTTCAAACCAATCATGCATTAATGCTTGTGTCATCTGTGTTCTTTTATTTGCATGGTATGTAACAAGAAAAACTTTTACTTCTTTAAATGCTTGATTTCGTATATTTTTTCTGATTGCGAAACATTTACTCTGGTGCGTTCCTATAGCATTTGCACCTGCTAAAATTGTTAGTCTAGCTTTGGAATCTTTGACACCAGTTGGATCCTTTTCTGTAGAGGTCGCCATGGTATTTTGCGGTACATATTCCAGAAAAGACCAGTTTCATCAGCGTTATAATTTGTTCTGAAGACAGCTTTTCACTATTAATGAGTTCTATTCTAGTTAAATAAGTTTGTCTGCAAATAGTTCTTCAGTATCAGCTGAAGCTTTTTCCACCTGCAATTTTTAATTGCCTTATACCATGGCAATTTTTAAATTTGGTTAACCAACCTGTTAAATATGTGCACTCAGATTTTAAATTTGTTTCTTCATGAAAAATTTTGGTATTGAGCCATTAGCACTAGATCGGTCAATGGCATGCCCTTGCTGTGTGACCCACTCAACCATTACTTTGTCATCTTGTCACTTTTAGCATAATGAACAATTTTTCTGTAATTCGGTGCGAATGGGGAGTCGGAAGTCATATACAGTTGACTTTCCATTGCCATACTCCTCGCATAATTTTGAAATGGATATATCTATATCCATTTTTTGCAGGAATTCTACTTTTTGTTTAATGGACATCGAAACATGCTTTCACTTTGTAGATCCTGTTGCAGCTCCATAATTAGAAACTCTTTTGACATAACCAAAAGTTTAAACTTTAGATTTCATAAAATTGCTGTAATTATAACAGCCTGCAAAAAATTATAAGCTGGATCAAATCAGAAAGTTAACGAACAGCACAATCAGCTATATTAACTGAAATTCTTTGGAATCGGTAAATTATAATTTTAACCTAGCTTAACAGCACACCCTATACATGATTGGCTATGCAGCATGGCAACGAAATTAAATTTTGCCTTGCTTCTATTGCGCACTAAGACAATTAAGTCTGAATTGTATTAATTTAGTTATTTATTATACTTGCATCTAATTCTTGCACATGCTTATCTGAGTCCTGAATAAATAACTTCCATGTACTTAAGCTTACTGAGTAAGACCGGCACTAGATATTTTGCCATCTGATGCAATTTTTCCGGGTCCTAAATTCTACTACCAAGCACCTCCCTAAGTTCTAAATTTTTGCAGCCCCTTAATTTCGGGTCCCAGTGCTTTTCCTAAATTCTAAAAATTATATCACCCCTTAATTTTGTTACTCAGTGCTTCTCTAAATTCCAAAAATGTTATTTTCCCTAAAAAATCTGTCACCCGAGCTCTGGCGGCGGTTCTGGGTTTACATGAATAGAAAAACTCTTATCAATTCAAATAACACTAAATGTAATCTTTTGGCCTGTGAGTCTCATTAACAAAATTTATTTTTAGCATATGGAAAGAAGTTTTTGTTAAATTTTTCCTCGTGAACTTTAAGCACATTTAACTTAAATCTATAATCATTGCCAAGTGTAATGTCAACATAAAAGGTTTCCATGCTCTTGTTATTCAATTACTAATATAAAAAGAATTGTTTAGGCATCGCTGCATGCATCATTACTTAAGTTGTCATGTGACAATAAACATACGGTTATAAAACAAAATATAATAAATAATGATTCGCCAGGTTGGGTGTCAGGAATATAAAATATCTGTAGTTGTAAATGTTTCTATGTAGAATGTTTTAGTTTGAGATGTATGCCAAGCAGCTATGGAGCCAAATTACTGATCACACAAATTTATGCTAAAATGATTGTTTCTTCAATAAGAAGGGTATTTTATTTAGTGGCAAAGCAAAATTAAGAATCGGGATTCTCCAGCTGTTTTCTTATGGGAAAAAAAAATCGAACGCGCATGCCTAAAGCACTAAAAAAAATTGTTGGTGGCTGTAAGGTCCAGATTTTAGATCATTCCCAATATTGGACGTCCATATCTCGGACTTTGTACTGTATATAGTTAATTAATCAACCAATCTATAGAATAGTATAAAAATGTAATTGTTTTATACAAGACTTTTTTAAAAAATCGTTTTCCTTTTTGTTTTGCTGCCTTCTTTTTTACAGAACTTCATTTTAAAATTATGAATTCTGTATCATGCACATATATCATTGTACTGGTTTTCACTAGCTCAATCATTTTATATTACATAATGTTATAAAATAACAAAATTTGGTAATCATTACTTTAAATTTGTATTAAGGTTTACAATTATAAAAATTTTCATTATTAAGTATATTTATTCATACAAATTAAATTCTAAAATGGCTTTTCTTTGTGAGACAGGAAGGAAAGAATCTCAGAAGCTGTGATGTACTCTTGAAGTGCCCAAAATGTAACTTTCCTGCCAAAAGTAAAAAGGAAAAGAAGTATTGTTGCACACGAAATTCATGTCAGTATGCGTTCTGTAAAGAGTGCAGTGGCCCTTATACTTTGTTACATGTTTGCCATAAAAACAGTTCAGATGTCAAGGAAAGGAAAATTGTTATTGGTAGTCCTCAAAGTAAGAGAAATTTGAGGCGTTTAAGATAGGCCTTAGTGTACTGATTGACTGACATGTGGCTTTTATTCATTTCTTATGTTTTCAATGCAATACTTTTTTCTTCTTTTTTTCTAATTAATTTGTGTCTTTGAATTCTCTAGCTGTGATAAACTGAACTGTTTTCCTGTGATCTCTCTAAACTGTTCAGCTGTGATAAGAAAATAATGTTACTATATCTTTTATAAATATTTTTACAGTTTCTATATTTTTCATAATGAATTTTTTTTCAGTACTCTTTCAGTCTGCTGTGAATTTTATTGAACAGCTTATATGATTGAGAAAATGCTCCTTTCAGTCCACCATTTCAATTAAATGAATTATGTGTATATTAAGTTAACATATATTTTTTATGTATATTGTGCAATTTTTAAGTACTTTAAAAGATCTTTTGTAGTTCAGTATTTATTCTGTGACTCTGATGAGGGTATTTTAATATTTCTATGTGTTAAATAATTTTTACATTTACAAAATTGCTTTTATGATACATTTGTATTGTATCATTTTAAAAATTTTTGTTGTGAATTTATTTTGAACAGTACTGAAATGTTTAACACCTTCATTATTTTATATGTGTCTTGATGTGTGAATTTGTTTGTATGTCTTTACTTTTTAATAAATGTTAGTTGAATAATTTTCATTTATTTATTATGGTAAGTTGAAGTTTCATCACTATTTCTCTATTTCTGTATATTCTGTTTCATCACTATTTCTGTCTGGCTATTCTCACTGCCAAATATGCTTCTGGTCAGTTTTGTATTTTGAATGTAATGTATTAAATTATATTACATATATTCCTATTACAAAAATATGATGTGTCTCTAGAGCAGGGGATCTCAACCAGGGAAGGGAGTGCACTCAGCCTTTTATTTACCTGTAAAGGATTTAGTTTATGACTACTTTAATTTAAGATTTGATAATTTTCAACGTTTTCTGTACTTTTTCCCATTCTTTTAATATTATATATATATATATATATATATATATATATATTTGTCTCTTTCTTTTAAATATAAAACACATTAAACATAATCTTAATTTTAATAAATATATGTATTTTTTGTTTTTTAAAGCATTGTCTAGCAATGGTGAAAGAGGTGCATAGAGCAAAAAATGGCTGAGAACCATTATTCCAGGGCTGCAGTCGCCAACCGGTGGTTGGAAAATTTTTGATGGTCTGCAGAAAAATTAGGACATAACTCATGCACTTTTTACAAATATGTTTCGCTCATTAATTATTTTCTTTAATTTTTTTATAGTTTTCAAATTCAAATAAAATAGATAACAGGTGCTAAGGAGCATGAAAAGTAAACGAATATTTTGCTTTTCTTTAGTAAAATTAATTACTAAGAATTAATTTATTAATTCTTAGTAATTAATTTTACTAAAGAAATTAAAGAATAATTAAAGAATTAATTTATTATTATTAATTAAGACATAATAACTAGTGAAATTGGAATTCTTTCACTTAACGAGAGGTGATCGATGAATCAAAGCATCCACATTCCTCATCATGGTCAGACAGCATTAAAAAGAAAGTTCAAACTGGAGGTGCAAAGAAAAAAACCCCAAATAACAAGAAAATATTATTGACTACTTGACATTTCGATTTATTCCAGAACCCTGTAGTTAGCTGAATCCTCAGCATCAGAGTTTATGTAATGATATCATGAAACCTTCTAAACTCGAAAAACACTTGAAATTAAAACACCCAGATTTTATCTAAGAAACTAATTGAATATTTTCAAATAATGCGTGAAAATATGCAAACATATATAGGTGCCTAAAAATGTGGTTGTTTAAGTCCCTATCAAAGGCTTTCTATCTGATAGCACTTCAATTAGCGAAAACCAAAAAGCCATATACGGAGAAGAATCATTCAAGCCTTGCGTACTGCAAGCTTATGAAGAGGTTTTGGGAAAAAATGCTGTACAGAAACTGGAACACTCTTAAGCCCGGAGTTGAAGAAATGACTAGACATCGTTCAGGGGTTGTTGCGAAGGTGAAAAATGTAAATCACCCCATACTTTCTGTTTACACACTGTCGTACACATAGTGAGCATCTTGTGGTGAAAAAAAAATGTTCCCAGTACTACACCAAGTATTATCAAATGTTATTAATATTATAAATGAAATTCAACACAAAGCAAATAATTCTCGACTATTTGAAACATTTTGTGAAGAAATGGGTTCCCAGTATACACACCTTCTTCTTCACACTGAGGTGAGATGGCTTTCAGGAAGCAAAATACTGACTCGACTGTTCATCCTGCGTGAAGAAATCAAATTATTTTTCAGCAGCAAAATAATCCGGAATTTCAAGAACTCTTGTCCGACGACTTGAGTGGGTAGTCAAGCTTGCATACCTGGCAGATGTTTTTTCCCTCAGTTATTAGAACTAAGCATATGCAAGGACAACTTCAGCACATGTTTAGAGTACGAGTAAAATAGATGCTTTTCAAAAACAATAACATTATGGCAAATGCTGTAGATGGAAATCTACAAAATTTTAATAAAAATATGGGAGAGAAGGATCTCAACGAGCAAGTGGTATTCATTATTCAACAGCACTTACAGTCACTGGCAGAATGTTTTGGTTTTTATTACCTAAAGCAAGAAGATCCTAGGTATGGAAATATGTGGATTACATTATCAGCAAACAACTGAAGATAGCAAATTAGGCATGAGTTATAAAGAAAGCCAGATTAATCTGTCTCTCCGGACAGTTTAAAAACTTAATTCCAGTCATCTTTATCAAGACCTTATTTTTGTCTCTCTATAAAAAATTAATACCCATCACTCGGTGGAAAAAAAATTAAAATTTTAATTCAATTTTCGACAACATATTTGTGTGAAAAGGTGTTTTCAATTGTAACAGCAAAAACTCAGCATAGGTCTCGGTTTAAAATAAATGTGGCTTTTCTTGCAGTTATATCACTAGAACCAAAAATCCACAAACTGATTTCAAACAAACAGGAACAAATAGCACACTAAAAATGTGTATACTTAAACCTAAATTTTTCATTTTTAAAAATAATTGCTCTATAACTTTGTTACCTTTAATGGCTGCATTTCACATTAATAAAATAAACGGTTTCTGATTATTTTTAGTTGATTTAAACTAGCTACTAACATTAAATAAAACCAGATATCATAATCATCTTATTGATAAAAATAGTTTTTACATTAAAATAAAGGTACGACAAAACACTCATTTAATGCGAACAATGACCTTGCATTTCCTTGGAAAGTTTGGATTGGATAAGTTAGGTTTGTATATTGTTATTTTAAATTTAAAGCATCATTCCAGATTCACATGAATAAGGAGATGATTTCTCAATTTACTTTTGATAAGGCTAATGCTTGAAAAAGAGTGTTTCTATGAATATGTAGAGCAAGAACAGCAAATGCTACTTTTTTTTAACTTATCAAATGAGTGGAGAACTCTATTCCAGGTGTTAGAAATTATCATACCTTCTTCTCCAAGTATTTCAAAGCAAACCACTTTTGCTGCCCTTTCACATTTCACACCTCCTTGAACTCCTAAAATATATCTTATACAGTCAAAAGTCGTTAATTCGGACACCCATAATCCGGAATGATCTATAATCCGGACTCAAAGCTAAAAACTTTCTGCGCATGCGCCGCGTTGGCACAGGCGTTTTACGCGTGCGCGTAAGACCTTGACTACTGCGCATATGCGTGTGCGCAAGTGCAGAACACGTTTTCGCCTGCTCGTTTAATGTATAACGGATGGTGTAAGCTAAAATTATCTAATTATATAGTTCAGTTAATGTTAATGATTGCGTTGTTCCTTAAACTTCGAATTGGATCCCGCTTATTATTTTTTGCAGACTGTAAGAGCAATTTTATAAAAGTAAACTTGAACTTTCGATTATGTCAAATAGAATTTCCGATGCTGGAACTTCCAAAGGATCTACAAAACGAAATTATGTTTCGATGTCCAACAAACAAAAAGTGGAATTGCTGCAAAAAATGGATAAAGACATGAAGAATGTGACAGAGAGGTTAGTGAAAACGAAAAAATTTCGATTGACAAGTTAGTCGGTATTCTCGGCACAGCAATTAACGGGACTTGAACAGCGGAACTTTGTAACTGAACAAGAAATTATGTCTGTTTATAGAATTAAAGAGAAAGTATTGTCACATAAAACGAAGCAACTTAAAGAACTTACATTGAAAGAAATGTTTAATAAAGTAAACAAATAAATATTAAGCTTTTTTTTTTTTTTTTTTTTGTGAATTTTGATACCCTTTAGATCATAATTATTCTTTATTTCATAAATTATGGTTTCATATTTTTAATTTTAGAATTTCTGCATGCCATCTTACGCGATTTAAACTGATGATCTATAATCCGGAAAAATCGATAATCCGGAATCGCCGAAGTCCCGACGAGTCCGGATTAACGACTTTGGACTGTATACTAAGCACATTTTAATGCTTGAGGATTTACTCCAAACACAAGACCCATGGTGTTTCTTAGCCTGTAAATTACCCATCTACCAAAAATTCACACCAATCTGTAAAAGATAATTCTGAAGATATTAAATTTGTTTTGAAAGTAATATATTCATTTCCCTTTGTTTGAAAAAATATTGGGTTTTAATAAAAGTTTTCTGCCACTGTAAATATCGTCTGTGCAAACATTCATGTGTTTAATCTCATTTTGTCAGGCGATTTTTGGCATTTGAAATAAAGAGACTTGTTTTAGAATACTGTGCGGTGAAATTTGTAAAAATGTATCACTATCAGCAAGTACAAGGTGTCTGAAATGGAATTGTCATGCTACCAGATTAGAATCATAATTTACTTCCAGTTCTGTTGCAAAAAGTCAGCTATAGAATGTCATTAAATCATATGTATAGCTTTAGGTACTACTGTTGTAGCATATGACACTATGAAGATTTGGAACTGAAAGTTCAAAATCGAGGACTACAAGTATGATATTCAAGAAGCAGAGCGCTCAGGCCGGCCTACTAATGTTGATGAGGCCCGCCTGCGAGAACTTGTGGAAGATGAGTATGCTTGAGAGTTTGCAAAGGAGATAGACGTTGAGCAGGGGTATTAAGGAAGTTATTGACCACCTGGTTCACCTGTTCAATATGGTTATTGTAAGGAGTGGGATTAAGAGTGAATGTATCTTCCATATAGTCCGCAAAAGATTTAGCTTTATCTTCTTCTGTATATGAAATTCCACTAGGTCCATGGATAGGTGGAATAGGTTTATAAGGTTTCTTGAATTTGCGGGAAATGTCAAATAGGGAATTGCGCTCTATAGCTAGGTTCTTTAGGAAATTGGTCCATTTTTGGTTTTTTGAAGTTCTTGATTCTTCTGTTGATTTCTTTTGCATAGAGTTTAGTTCGTGTTTGAGTTGTGGATCCCTGGTGGTTTGCCATCTTTTACGGATCCGGTTTTTCTCTTTAATACCATTTCTAATATCGGCAGGCAGGGGGAGGAAAGACTTGTTCACATAAAAAGTATTGGTGGCTTCCTTTAAAGCAGAATTGATGCTGTTGGTAAATTTTGAGACTTCGTGTTCTAAGTCTTCTTTGTTGATGCATGGATTACCTTGTATGGAGTTATT